CGTCTACTTTGTTATATTATTATTATTTCTAACTGACATTAAATAGTGTGATATATTGTATCTATAGTTAGTGTGTGGTGTGGTTATAACATAAAAGGACAAATATATGGTTTTGGTATAAAAGAGGTTTAATTTATGAGAGGAAAAGAAGGTACATGTTTGTGAGAGTTGATTCGCGATAAATTAATGCAACAATGGCGTATCACTCCGCTATGTTTTCTTCGGCAAGCAATGTGCTCCGCGACTTGAGAAAATAGTTCCGTATATTTTTGTAATTTGCAGTGTTTTCCTCGCCTAAAAAATGCTTTAAAGGTATTTTCTTCTTTATTAAGATCGTAGGAACGTTTTAAAAACGTTTAAAAGAAAAGTCCAGAAAGTTCAGAAATACCGAAATAAGAAATAAACTATAAACACGAAATGACAGGTTAAATCGTAGTTATAATAGTCAATCAGCTGCTCATAGTATTATTATCTTTAAGTGTTGCCAACCTATTTCCAAGCGTGCATAATAGAACCACGCTGTTTTGTGTTGTTTCATTGGAATCCTGATGTGCGCCAAAGTATAAACCGTACGATAAAGTATAAATATGCAGCAATTAGCAGCTTTCTGTACTATAAACAGTACAAGGAAGCCAACTTTGTCGGGTGACTGTAGGAAAACAAAATTGTATCATGGCCATCTGTTTTGATGTAATCAAGTAATATAAACTTGAATAAGCTCAGATGATTGACAACTGAATTCAGCACTAACTCTGAAATTTTAAAAGTGTGTATGAAGAAGGGCTTTCACGGGATATCATCCGAACCCGCAAAAGGCACAAACCTAAAATTTAGTACAGTATAAAAAGCTAATCACGCTTATAATAAAGACTACGCACCCATCTGACAGTAACACAGGCAACATGGACTAAGTAGGCTAAAGATATGGACGTTTTCAAGAAGGTATACGTGATACACTCCACACTCCATAATTGTGAAATTATTTTAAGATTGTTTCCGTTTCCCTTGTTGTGGCGTGGTCATGACAATGTTCAAGGACAAACATACAAATTGGCTTACGTTCTATAAATTGTTTCCCATGATTTGGGGAATATTTAAGAAGTGTAATCAGTTTTGAATTACAAAATGTGCATACCTATTTCATGCACGGGAGCTTCTATTAGAATTGGATCAATTTCCGATAAATGTCTGTATATTTTTACAGTAAAGAAGCAATGTATCCCGCCCACGCAGATGGTGGATGGTGGGTGGATCTATCCACCAGTAAAACGTTCAAGCAAAATTTCAAGTTAGAATAAAGTCGTATATGTAGAGTAAAGAAAGTTATACGCAACATACAGTGTGATTGAAAAGCTCCGGAACAGTGTAATACATCTTTTACCATCCTACTAATATTTGTAAATGAGAAAGTTTGGATGTAGGGATGTATGTATGTTTGTGACAAGTAAATGCGAAAAATACTGGTCGGATCGGGCTGAAATTTGGCATGATGATAGCTCACATTCCCAATTAACATAAAGGCATATTCTTATCTCAAAAATTCTTTCGGGCTCCACCCTGTAGCTCTGCAGTTCCACATGTTAACCTTATGAGTATTCATTTTTAAAGGGAATTTAGCCAGCTGTTTCAACTAAAAGAGTTGGTTCTATGATATGCAAAAGCATAATAATTTATAAGATTTACCAACAGGGTGCAGCACTATTATTTTTTCATTATTTATGAAAACAGCTAATTTGAACTAAGCAGCAACAAAAAACTTTGATATGCAATGAGAACTGTCAAAGTAGGATTGTATACAGTTATGTTTATGTTTTTAATTTTCAAGAATAATTTGTGATATTTTGTGAATTTGTAATAATCTATCTTTCTCTATTGTGTAGGTGAAGTGGTAGGACATTATAAAACTCAAATATAGAATCGTTCTCGTATCATCTATCTAAGGAAACTTGGGATGAAATATATAATGCAGCAGATTTGCAAACAAAGTTTGGATACTTTTTAACAAAAACTAGTGGAACCCCGTCGAAATCGACGGTTAATCTTGAGGTTTTATGTAAATTCAGCTAACTGCGATAGATAGAGTGAAGTCATTAAAATCTTAGTCAAATGAAGGGAGGATAAGCATAATAATAAGTATGACGATTGTGTTCCCTAAAAAACGTGATTGTTGAATTCGTTTAACACAGCATTTCCTACCTTTTTATCGGCTTTATGTTGCCCAAAAGGTTTTTTAGGAGTCGTTATAATTGTTTGTTCATGAGTTTGTTTCATGTCAAAGCCACTTTCACTATCTGGGAGAATGAGTTCATATAATTAGTCTATAATGTTACGGAAAGAGTCAATATTTATTACTAACAACTAATTCCAACTGCTTTAGAAAAATCATTCAGATTGTATCCAGATTTATAAGTAAATCTTCATCTTTAGTCATAAAAATACAGAATTTTATAATCATTTAAATAAGTTTTTTCTGTATTTGATAAAAATATCTGATTCTCCAGATAGCAGTAACATTCTTACTTCAATCTAAGCAATTTTAATTCCTTCTCTTGCCACATCGACCCATGTATTTAATCATCCTGTTCTTACTTGATAATTCATTAACTTAGGGGGTAGTTTTGCCTCGCCATATCGACCACATAAAGCATGTTTTTCGTGGATGGAATGAACCATAATTGTAGGAAATTTGATCACAAATCTTGAACATTTGTGGAACCAAATGCATAACCTAGTCCAGCCTTGGTAACAAATTATGCAAATGCGATGAGATGTGATGACACTGTTGTGTTTCCGAATGTGTTGTATGTAGTGAGGTTCAGATGCGTTGTTCGACCTAGCTACATGTGTACATCAAAGTAAAAACCCTGTAGGCCTGCACATTTTTCTAAAAATACCCGAATTGACATTAGTTCACTTACTTCACCAAAACCATAGATGAAACATACTCCGTAGTTAGTCTATTCCAAAACTTGAACACAGCTCTCATCCTCAATGCAAGTTACTCATCTATCACACAATTTTCCACCCGATTATCGAAAACTTTCATACCAATAAATGAACTTGTGGTGTTCTCTCTTGAATTGAAAAATAAATGGTGATTGAAAGTAGGAAAAAAAGGCAAGTGCCAACCTTACAATACATAAGCTAACCCGATAAGGAATAGTTATATGTTCCTTTGAAAATGATATGTCACACTTATTTCATAATTTAACATTTTCTAAGAGCAATAAAGCATAGATTTTTGAACAAAACATTTAAAACGTATCATAAATTCATCATTTTGTTGAAACTATAAAAAACTTACCATGCAGTGGAGAATCATTTTAAAATCATAAATAATAATGTTAACATTTAATTTTGACAGTTTCAGTAGACCTTTGAATACAATTTTAATATTAACAGCTGGTTCATTAAAAGTAGTGTAAAATTATCCATATGATCATAATGTAAACAAAATTGCAGAGTGAACTTTAAAGGCCTCTGGGACAGAGCCCCAAGGAAATTTACCTCTTTTCTATTTTGAGGGCTCACCTACAGACCAATACCTGTCTTTAGACACCCCTACCAAGTTTCTACACCCAGCCGTTCTCTCAAATTAGCTGTGACAAAAACTCTGTTTTCCTCCATAAGAATAACATGGGATGGGACTTTAAAAGCCACTGGGGCAGAGCCCCGAGGGAATTTACCACGTTTCTCTTTTGATGGCTCATCTACAGACCAAGACCTTTCTTTAGACACCCCTACCGAGTTTCTACGCCCATCCGTTCTCTCAAAATAGCTATGACAAAGAAAAACAGTTTCAAATTAATATATAGATAACCCACTAGTTCAAAAAATCTTTCCCAATGAAAAAAAGAAAATAAATGAGAATAAACCTCGAAAAAGCCCATTCAAATGAGGTATTCAATTAGGTGAAGTGGTAGAACATTATGGCTATGGTAGATGTGTAATACTATAGCATACCGTAAATTTGAGGAAGCAAAATGTCTCAAGCCGTCTCTTCTCTCATTGCAAACGCAAAGATCGAGTATAACTTCAATAAGCATTTTATTCTTAGTTGCCAACCCCGTACGAAGGACGGGTACTCTGCTAGTTAATAACTAGCTAGTTAATAACTAGGGTTTGCGGCAATGTGTTTTACTAAATAAAACCTTTAATTTAACTCGACTTATGCTGCTGTTTGGGAATTGTTTCTGACTCCTCATGGGCCGTCCCCTTTAAGAGGTCAAAAGGATTTGATAGCTTGAAAGAGTAGACATTTATGTTTATTATTTATATATCAAGTTTTATTACTTTAGCTATAATGTTAAAAAATATATTACACCAATCCCGGACTTTTAAATCACACTGTATATAGCCCGCTAGAAGTCGGAGGTAAATCATAAACCATAGAGCACTAAAAACCATTGATTGATATGCACATAAAATTAAAGGTCTCCTTATATAAGTAGAATACAATGCAGGGAATTTAAGCTCAAAATGAACAACTGAGTAAAAAAATGGCAGCCGTTCAAAGATATAAAATGGCAGATTCGAGAAATATTTGAACAGCTGCCATTTTTTAACTCGGTTGTCCGTTTGAGTTCGGGGTTTGCCGTATTGTATTATACTAAGAAAGGCCTTTAAGTTGATGTACATATACCTATGCTTTCATTTAATATTTTCATCTGACTCCTAACCAGTCGTCCCCTGAGAAGGTAGAGTAGCACTGAAAATGTGTTAAAATGGTTTTAATGCCCAGTGTCTTTGTACCAAGTTTTGTATCTCTATCATGATTATTTTTGTATAACTGTCCCGGTACTATTTTACCACCCTATCCGATATGTGTGCGCGCTTGTGTGTGTTTTAATTGACTATTCATCGTTGCAAAAAATCTGAAGGCTCTGTCTCGGTGGAGTTTCCTCAACAAGAAGTTGATAAAGTATTTTTAGCAGTGAATCTATATTTGCATAGAAGTAGCATACTTAGTTATCATGGTTATCACCAGCATGCAAGGGCAAACGACATCTTCCACTCACACACAGACGGCGTCCGGGAAACACATAGGTTTGCCCAGCTCTTCACTTTCAATGCAGCTGTCTAGGTTAGTTAGCCTACTTGACATATGAGACTAATGTGCATCTGCTTCATGACCCTTTCCTAATAATAATTACATGTTTTATTTTATTAAATTCGATTCTTTATAATCATTCTGAAGATTCCTATGATCAATATCCCTATGATAATATTAGAATTGATATTTAAGACAACAGAACACTCTGGATGATTTCAATTTAAATATGAGAAATATTTTTGTATTCTGTACCCTAAAACATCCCGAATACAAAATACAGTACATATAATGTAGTAAAATTGAATATCGTCATGTAATTGAGATCTACAACAGATATGATTGATCTTCTTCAAACCTAACAAAGAACAGCTGACTTTGCCGGTCCCAAATAGTTGAAAGACCCGGTTTTTAAATTGGGGCTAACGGCGAACAATAAAATACCCTCGCCACAGCGAACCTGCAGACTAAGCAAATTTCCATTTGCCTGAATTGATTTTAAATTAAATCTATTTAAATAACATTATGTGTAACGAGTACCTAGGTTTGCTGCTACATGGAGGCTAAAAAGTGTGTTTTTAGTAAAATATTAGTAGCTTAGTATAAAATAAATAAATTTGCCAAGTTTTATCAAAATATTTCCATAATAAGCAAACTACAACATTTTACAATATTCTCCATAAGACTAACATGGGGATTTTTAATTATCAATTTTTTGAATTTTCTCCGTAACTAATAACCGTACAAAAACACTTTGGTATACTAAAATATTTGTTTTTTAAGCTCTTTAAAATGGTCTAGAGAGAAATTTGAAAATTTTGTGTTTTTAGGGTCAAAAATGAGAAAAACTAATTTTACCCCATAACATGTTGGGAGCTCTTGGTTGCTGAAACAGTCAAACAGGCCACACTTGTTAAATGTCTCTTTAGCCTTGGTTCTAGCTTAAGAAATAGTGGAAGGGAGTTGGAAAGCTTTATGGCAATGTACAATGTGTGTTAAAATAAAATGTTTTGAGTTTAAGAATCGGCAAGTTAAATAAACTGCACAATGTGTATGGGTTTTTAGTAGAAAGTAAAAATGAGAAAAGCTTTGTTTTAGGAATGTTAAAGACTATATATAGTCCAGTGCAATTAGACAAAAAATGACCTTGACCCGGACAAAATTGATAACAGGCTGAAAATTGCTGGAAACGTTCAGAACAATGTCCTGAGTGGCCCACACAAAGTCCCAAGAAATCCCAGTTGGGGAACGGCCGCCATCTTGAAAAAACTGCCACCATCTTGGAAATTTAGATTTTTTGCTGTATCTTTTGAAGTAATAGTCCGAAAGGCATTATTTATGTCTCAAATTAAGCGTTTTGAACTCATGTATGAGTGTAGTATATATACTTAAAGAGTTTAATGCGTTCTAAGCATAAATATTATTTATATTAACCTAAAAATATATCCATAAAAATGATATAAATTTACAAAATATTTACAAAATGAAGCTTTTTTTTCTTTTGTTCTTAATGGACTTGTTAAAGCCATTAACCCTTTTGGCGTTTCATGCAATTCACTATGTTTAGTCTTTGGAATTGGTTAAAAATAAGGGGTGAATAAAAAGTCAAGACCCCCCCCCCCCTCTAATATTATTCTAAATAAGTATACAGAAATATCCTTTTGGTGGTGTCGCAATCTTAGTAGGAAGTTTCATTTGATGATTTTGAAATTTTTGAGTGTCCCCCAAAAAGAGGTAATTTTAAGGGCAACTCAAAAATTTTAAAGTAAATCCTATTCAAGTGACACCTCATCTTGAAGTGTTTACAAAAACTTAAAGAATGGTGAAAACCAGAGTTCCCTATATCTTCTCTATCCAAAATGGTAGCCCGTCAAAAGTTTAATGACGATAGTGTTACATTAATTTTCCTGTGTAGTAAAAAGTAATCCCCCCTTTAATTTGTTCCTAAGTAAATATTAAAGAGTAATCCTTTTGGTGGTGATGCAACCTTAGCAGGAAGTTTCATTTTATGATTTTAAAATCTTTGAGTATTCTCCTCTGTCCAAAATGGTAGCCAATATTACAATTACGAACCAATATTACCATTGATTTTCCATAACGTTTGACGGGCTACCATTTTTGATAAAGATGAAATAGTACACTCTGGTTTTCACCATTCATAAAGTTATTGTAAACTCATTAAAATGAGATGTCACTTGAAGGGGGTTTACGTTTAACATTTTTGAGTTGCCCCCAAAATCCCCCCTTTTTGGGGAACATTTTAAAATTTCAAAATCATAAAATGAAACCCCCAGCTAAGATTGGACGACCACCAAAAAGGACATCTCTGTATATTCACTTAGAAAGTATTAGAGAAGGGGGGTATTGGCTTTTTATTCACCTAAATGCTGTAATTTGTTATTTATTTATTTATTTATTCCAACGGCAAGATCACCAATTTTTACAATGTGGATTCAAGAAGCCTAAGTGGTAACAACATGCATTTTAACAGAAAACTTAACTAACTTAAATCTATGGCAGGAGCAGAGCAACATCGGTAACAGGAAATTATAATCTTGACTAGGAAAGCATCAATTTAACGATGAAATACAAAATAAATTATGAAAAAGCAATTAATAATTTTGTTTGTTCCGATCTTAAAAATAGAATCATCTAGATATAGTTGCTATAATTGATTACCATTATATTTTAATATTGCATATAAACTTATAATGTAACTACTCGCTGTTAAATGTTATTGTCGGTGATGTAATCTTCGTTGTAACTATTGCGGTTGGCACATCCGTGTCCAGTGCAGTATCCATGCATCGTGGTGCATTTAAGACCATAAGGGTAGTTGTACTGTATCCATGAATCCATTCCAACCTGGACTTGGTTTTTCACTCAGTTGGTAGTTAATGAGCCATAGGGTGTCAGCAAGACAAGCATCTACAACCATTTTTGGTTCGGAAAGGGCTGTACTGACATCTCCCAATACTACTAAAGATGTCCCAGGCTTAGGCGGACGTTGGTAAGGTGTCACTGACTGAAAGCCATGAGATAGAAGGACACTTTTTCACTTTTTGTTTTGGGATTGTAGATCGTGGTACAGGAGCACTTGCATTGACACATTTCGGCTAGTGTTATGCACTCAATGTCACCCATGGCGTGAAGAGTACCATGTCCATCATGTGTTTTAAACGTTGTAATCCGCGTTGTCGAAAACATAATGAACATTCATCTATTGAAGGTGAGACATTATCAGCTATCGAAGTCTCATAATTGACTTTCTTGTATGTCGAGCAAACTCCGAGCTACGATAGAATGTCTAATAGCAACTACGAGCCATACCGTCTGTGAAGGCCGAGCAGCAGGGGCGATATGAAAGATCGTGGTCGAGCTGCAGCAATAATTGCATGAGCTGTATTAGTTGTCTCCTCTTTAAAGTTTTATCATAGTTAAATGGATATTATATTTATATTTAACCAATTCCAAAGACTAAGCATTGTGGGGTGCAAGAAATTTCAATAGGGTTAATGGCTTACACAAGTCCATTACAAAAAAAGAGAAAAAGCTTATTTTGTATATATTTTGTATATTTATATCAATTATTTTAGATGAGGACGCCACTATGTGCGTATTTTAACAAAATATGAGTGAAGGATGAGTGTAGGATGAGTGGCGCGATCTTGTAGTCTTGTTAGTGACTAAGGCCAACATGTTCCTTAGACACAAATGTTAATTAATAGCCCATACAGCTAATGGCAACTAAGGGACCTACAGTTCATAGTGGAATCCGAACGACATTTTTTCCTTGTAATTAACGAATTGGTATAATTATCAGGATAGTACTGCGGATAGTCATAGTACTCACTTGTGCGGACTAATCCACACCAGGGAGCATCGCATCCACCTTGCATGCCTATAAATATCCACAATTCGTATAAAAGGGGGGACATAACCGTATCTATATCGTTATTATAGATATTTTTTTGCCTAATATAATTAAAATTTATGCTTAGAACATAATAAACTCTTTAATTATATATTACCCTTATACATGAGCCCAAAACGTTTAATTTGAGACATAAATAAGGTCTTTCGGACAATTACTTCAAAAGATACAGCAAGAAATCTAAATTTCCAAGATGGCGGCAGTTTTTTCAAAATGGCGGCCGTTCCCCAACTGGGATTTCTTGGGACTTTGTGTGGGCCACTCAGGACATTGTTTTGAACATTTCCACCAATTTTCAGCCTGTTATCAATTTTGTCCGGGTCATAACCTAATTGCACTGGACTAATAATGTAAATGGAAAAGTCAGGATTTGAATATAAAAAGTACTCTCTGCATGACTGACGCTTTGTAATTTGTTTATGTTTATGATACTTACCGTTTTATGTTCTAATATTCTTAGTAAGAACTAATGTAAAACATCTGTAGACTGTTGACCGTTATTGCGTTAGCCACTGGGATCGCGGAACGCCGTTACTATTTACAAGATCGTCGAACAACGCATCATTTCCGGAGGCGCGTTGTCAAAAACTACAAAACGTTTTTGGTCTTTCCTCTAGACTTTTAGTTCAATATTGGTGTATATGCTTTGCGGTAAAAGACTTCCTACTGCATGCTTCGACGAACTACTTGAGCGCCACTGTGTAGTAGTACGACTACTACTTTTAATCATTCACTGTCTGGGTTGTAGAAGGCTGACGAAAACGTTCTAAGATTATTATTTCATCGAAGATGTGTGTGCACGTTTAACTTAAGATGTTTTTCTCTTTATGAAATATGTATGCTTACATCAAATTGTCGTGTTTTTCTTGTAGAGGAAAATCTAAATTAAAATTGAGTTTAAAAATACAAAATTCCAGATTTTTTGCCATTATCAGTACAGATCCCGCTTAAGATCCACCTGTACTGCCAAGCCCTTTTTATAGAAAATGTCTCACCAATCCCTGCCATTGAAGTGGCGTAGCTAATAATATCATCACTTTCAGAAATTGTGTAAAAACGCTAATCTAAGACTTCTTAACATTGGTCTATAGCGATTAAATTAAATGTGGTTTTAATTTCTCTTAGTTTATAAAGAGAATTCAAATTATTTTTGGATAGTAAATATGTCATATTAAAGACGTATTAAATAAGTGCGATAAAGCTATTAAAACTTTTACAATTAATTGACCTGGGAGTAGTCTACAGTTGACACTTTATACTCCGGAACATTCTTTAATACGACGCTGACCTAGATTAGTAATTCGCCCGATACAGTTCTGTACAGTTCTGGAATTCTATTCCAGTTTTTTTTTCGGTAAAAATCGTTTTAATAAAGCTTAAACCGATCACTCTGAATCTCAAATGGTCAAAGATTACTTAATAATGCATAGGTGAATTTTTCTTTTCGTATAAGTTAGTTTTGGTATTATTTACGGTGTTTCAAGTTTCTTCATAATAGCATATCCTTAACGGTCCCAAAAGAGTTGGATTATCAAGAGTCAAAAGAATTGGTGTAATCTATGATTGAACTTAGAACCTTTAGCTCTAAAGCTAATTACTTTTGTTCACCATAATGTTAATTACCATCAAAATGCATTCAGGCCAACCTACAGATGTAAATAATGAGAAACATTCGCAAAAAATAACCTATGAAAAACGCGAGGAACGATAGTGTAAATCTAGGTGGAGGTCACAAGGTAAGGTGGGGGAGTAACTACAGTATGAGCTCTTCCTCTTCAGTCATCAGTCTCAGTCTGTAACTGTGTAGTGATGACTGCTAAGCCTACGTCACTGAGTGTGCTGGTGTTGGTAGCCGCTCTGCTGGGCTACGGCGCCACCCATGGGGTACCAGACAACGCGTGTACAGTGGGCGGCCCGCTGGAGGTGTACAGCACACCGGACCGTCTACCCGCCACCGCCGCCCAATGTGACGTCATCTACAAGAAGGAAGACTGGCAGCTCACTCCTACCATCATATACACCGGTGCCAGCCCGGTAATCATACTGATTTGAATAGTGCAAAAGTAGTCTTACCAAACCTATTCTAATGTTTTCATGTTGGATATTTGTGCAACATACACATTCCCGTACTATAAGGTCAAATCAATCGCTTTTAGTACCAGCAGTAGCATTTTAAATAAAGAAATTGCATATACTTTATGGGAAAGTGGTGGTCTTAACCCACCGGTTATAGAGACACCAGGACCATACAATTTTTGTGATCAAAGTGTAAAATAATAAATATTGAAATCGATTCAACGGTTTTAGTTATGTAACATCGTGTTACCGGGACCCCACCAGCGAGCACATAATAATAATAATAATAGAGAGGACACGGCGTTTAACCAAATGCACTGAAAGTGTGGCCAAATCCGCCATCTTGGTCCGTCATACAGCCTGAATCCAAGACCCGCGAGCACAGTTCGCCTTAAAAACTCCGCGACAAATACACGATCATAAACAACATTAATAGTTGACAAAAAATTCTGAAATTTTGCACACTTGTAGATATGATATTGAGGAAAACGATGGTGTCAATATAAAATTATTAGTTATAATAGTATTTGAGTTATAAATATGTTTAACACTTATGTAGTTTAGTTTTTCAGATTCAGACATGAAAAAGTTGTATTGCGAGGAAATTTTTTATTTTTTGGTCAGAGTAATTTCGTCAGCGGGAAAGTTGTGGATAAATAACCAAATTTAACTATCCGATTCACAAAAATTTTTTATCGTGCGTGGTTTTCTAAAAATATCAGGTTCAAAAGGGGTCCATTGCCGCTGCTCCGCGCCACGCCCGCTGCCCCGCCGGGCCGTCGTCTATAAATTTAGCGTGCAGTGTTTTAATGTTTTATTTATACTGTTGTACTGCAATATTGTATATATTAAAGACATTTTCAAATATATTGTCTATGAAGAATTTTCAACCGTTTAGCACAGCTTTTTAAGGACTAATTTGCTTTCAATACCATCCAAGATAAACTAAAGATAATTATGTAAGTTAAATAAAACTTCCCAAATATTTGTAAAATTACACTCAATTTATTGTCCCAGAAAAATTAAATTTTTTTGAGATGTTGCCTGACTTTATTTTTGTGAAGACTTTCGTTACTTATTTTACAGTAGTAGCGAACTCTAACATTGAAATATATTTGAGCAATCATTTTAATTACTAAAGAAAAATGATTGTTGTCTATTTCATATCCTGAGAAATGTGTACTGTTTTTGTAAAAGAACAATCAGTTGACTAGTTCTCAACAGGATGTAGATTATCACCATCGCACAAACTCTTCAGTATAACAGCGTTACCTTAAGTACAAGTATTTTTTGTTTATGTGTTCTCAAACTGAATTTGCCCCATATTTTACAGCGGGCAGATACAATATTTGTTATTTGATTCTAGAATGATCAGTTTATTTTTTATTATAAATAATTTATTTTACAGCTGAAAACACTACTTGAATAAAAACCAGTTTTAATATTTCAACAATTATAATTGTATACAGTGTTCTGAAATATAGGAAATAAATTCATTCATTTATTATTTTTTAATTTGTTAAAACTAAACAACACGTTTAGTATTATGATTGTCTTGTATAAAAATATTTCAATAAGCCTAAACTGACGACTAAGTGAAATAAATTAAAACCACTTAGTAATTTCCGAAAAATATTTTAATCATTAGTAGTACCCTACTTTTGTGTGTGTTAAAGAATTTCTCTTTTGCGATTGCCACGTAAAATCAAAACAATATTTAAGTTGAAATTGAAGGTATGAAATAGCTCGGGTGAACTAACCCGAGTGACCCGACACCCCAAAAACTGATATGGGCTGTCGTAAAAGGGAAATCTAAGAAATTGCAAATGAAATCCATTCGGAGTAACATAAGGATTAACGGGACATCCCTGTACAATGTTCACTCCTAATTCATTTACATTTCCAAGTATTGACTTTTTATGTTTTGGACCAAACAATAGGTCGAATAGTTTGTACCATATGCCTACGATTACAATTTACAACTGGTAGTACGTTCAACTTTGCCAGTAATAAATTCATGGTTTGTTCCTCAATTAACAATGAGGCAGATTGTGTTATTGTTCTAATACAAATGAGAAAAAATCACAAATTTTTACTGTGTAATCGACATTTTAAAAATCAACCCCTGAGTGATCAATACACAGCCTGAAGCCGCGTTTAAGTGAGACCAGTAGAGCAGTCAGGTTACTTACCTCTAATGTATTTCAAGCTACAGTACGGAAAGAATGACAATAACTTAAGATTTATAAATCTCTTATTTGATTCTAGACTCAAAAGAATTATTATTATTTTCTTCATAAATTATTCAATTATTTTTTTATAAATAATTTACTTCGTAACGTGTAACACTACTTAAATTAAGACCAGTTTTGATTTCTATTATAGTTTACTCTTTTTTTCATCCGTCCAGAGTACATGCTGGTTATTGTTATTTTAATTTATCATTAAAATAGAGTAATTATGTTTGTGTTTATTGGTAATCTGGAGGCTAACATCAACCTAAACGATTCTTAAACCATACTTTGAAAATAGCCAAGTAAACTCTGATTAAACGAATTTGTGCTTGTCTAATCAGTTAGGAATAGTAGTTCATTATAGGAACTTAAGGGTAAAGGTTTTCATTAGATAAATTTTATGTCGGCAATAATACAGTAAAACAATCGATTTACTTTAAGATATACTAATACGACAATGTACTTCCAGAAAAACCTAAGTAATTTTTATACAAAAGTATTTTTACATTTAAATAAAGCCTATGTAAATAACCCTGACTCGAAGCATAGCAGATGACTAGCGCGTTGCAGACGCTGGGACTAGGCTAGCGCCGCCATCTTTGTCCGTTTCGTCGGCTAGTCAGACTGCCACGCTCCTGCGCTCCGAGTAGCGCTTCTATTTTGTTATGTGTTCGCTGGACCCCACACTGCCCACCTGCCAAAATGTGTGTTACAACGTTTGCCTGATTTGAAGTAATGTGACAAACAATTCCAGGTCTGTGTTTTTTAGTGAGTAGTCTGTGAATAAATTCAGGAGTCTCACACTACAGGCTGGCTACCTGTGTGCGTAAAAGCATTTTCCCTCCTCTCCCTAAAAAAAAAAAACACAAAAAAACAGTACTGTCAGTAAACATGTGATAAATTAATGATCTTTTATTCAGTACGTACATTTTCATTAACTTTGGATTCTGCAAGTAGTGTTTCCATCGTATTGTTTATTGCTTGTTTCGTTTGTGGTCAAAATTTTCATATGTTTTCATGTCTTCATGTCTAAATGTCTTCATGCTACTAGTTATGTTTAATGTGCTTGTATCGAGTAAATGTTACTTTCTTATTTTTTGGTGTATTCTACGAATACTGTGTGCTACTTTTGGAGTTTAATACTACAGGGTAAACAATAGACTGGGGTGGGTGGCGTCGTCCTGTAATCCAGCTACTAGGAGGTCACGAATTGTGGATATTTATAGGCATGCACTGTGGATGCGATACTCCCTGGTGTGGATTAACGTCCCCACGAGTGAGTACTACGACTATCCGCAGTACTATCATGATAATTAGACCAATTCGTATATACCAAGGCAAAAATGTGGTTCGGATTCCACTATAAACTGTAGGTCCCTTAAGGCTTGGCTTGCCATTAGCTGTATGGGCTATTAATTAACAGCTGTGTCCAAGGAATATGTCGGCCTTAGTCAATAACAAGACTACAAGATCGCGCCACTCATCCTACACTCATCTCCATTCATACTTGGCTTAAAATGCCTACTTTGTATGGTCGCCTTTTCATTGAAGAGTATTAAAAATATTAAATTAATTGTTTAAATTCAAATTATAATATACAGGGTGATTCTAAATTATTGTAACTATACAACCTATCATCACGGGGTGAGAATCAATTGAAAGAGGACATTCTAAAGTTTTGTTTAACACCACTTTAGTAAACATAGTCGCAAAATTAGCCTCTAAAGGCATTTTTAGAGTTTAACGACGATTTTAAATTAACTACTTGCTTTCACCTCTGAATCTCAAAAATGCATACTCTATGTTGAATTGACAAAAGATTTAAGTTATACCACGCTCAGTTATTTCTGTCTCTATTATTGTAAGCTACAAGGAACAAGGCTTCAAAAGAGCAAAAAGTGTTCTGTGTTTTAGAGTTTCATAGATTTTGAATAGTGTAATTAATTTAAAATCGTTCTTAGAGGATAATTTTGTAACGATGTTTACCAAAGTGGTTCCAAACAATAATTTAGAATCTCTTCTTTCAATTGATTCTTACCCCATGAGTAAAGGTTGTATAATTTTATAGAGTGATTATTTATTATAGTATTTACTAGCTGTACCCGCGGGCTTTGCCCCGTTTAACTTCATATGTGAGCTCGTTCGCATGGCTCAATCACGTCCTGGTTGAAGTTCGTTCGCTACGCTCACTCACCTTTAGGTTGGAGCTCGTTCGCTGCGCTCACACGTCCTGGTTGAAGTTCGTTCGCTACGCTCACTCACCTTTAGGTTGGAGCTCGTTCGCTGCGCTCACTTGCCTTCAGGTTAGCTCGTTCGCTACGCTAACTCGCCTCCGGGTTGAAGTTCGTTCGCTACGCTCACTCACCTTTTGGTTGCAAACTAGCTGTTGTCATAAATTAAAAAAAATAATAGTGCTGCACTCTGTTGGTAATCCTTGTAACTTTAATGCTCTTGAACGTCACAGAACATAACCAACTTGTTTAATTGAAACAGCTGTTATGATTAATTAATTCCATTTAAATATGAGTACTCATTAGGTTAACATGGGAAACTCCAGAGCCACTGGGGCGGAGCCCGAGAGTCCGATCAGAATAAAAACCACTTAGGTTTCCTATTTAATGCCTAAAGAATCAGTGTACCAAATTTCAGCCCCCTAGGTAAGTGGGAAGTGGGAGAATTAGTGATGAGTGAGTGAGTGAGTGAGTCAGTCAGTCAGTCAGTCAGTCAGTGAGGGCTTTGCCTTTTATACACAGGGTTAGTAAAAAGTGTGGAGACCCCCTGTTATTTTTTTAACGGCCCATACTAGAAAAACTAAACTCGGCACACCATTATGGCATGTTATGAAGTACTTTTTGGGCATAACCGCCACTTGGTGTTCATCCCCAAAATGGGGGATTTTGTGGAAAACTAAAAAAATTAAAATACAAAGACGCATCGAGTGACCCCTCATTTTAAAGGTCCTGGTAAAAGAAAACCAACAACGCAAACTAGAGGTCTCTATCTCAGTTCAGTACAAAATGGCAGCCGATTGAAATTCTCATAAGTTCCCAAACCCAAAATGGGGGATTTTGGGGGAAACTCAAAATTTTTAATGATAAGCCCCATTGAGTGACCCCTCATTTTGAAGGTCATAATAAAAGAAAACTAACAACACAAATTATAGGTCTCTATCTTAACACAGTAAAATATGGCAGCCAGTTCAATATAAAATTGCAAGTTATTTCCGATTTTAAAGATTTCAATCACCTTCCATTTTTTACTGAATTGAGATAGAAACCTCTAGTTTGCGTTGTTAGTTTTCTTTTACCAGGGCCTTCAAAATGAGGGGTCACTTGATGGGGCTTATCATTAAAAACTTTTGAGTTTCCCCCAAAATCCCCCATTTTGGGTTTGGTAAGCAAGTGGCTATTAGGCTTAAAAAGTACTTCATAACATGCCAAAAAGGTGTGTAGAGTTTAGTTTTCCTAGTGTGAGCCGCTACAAAATTTACAAGGGGTCTCCAGACTTGGAAAGCTGCAAGTTAAATTCAACTTCTGAGAATTTCAATTGGCTGGCATTTTTTACTGGATTGAGATAAAGACCTCTAGTTTGCGTTTTTGGTTTTCTTTTACCTGGACCTTCAAAATGAGGGGTCACTCGATAGGTCTTTGTATTTGTAATCTTTTAGTTTCCCCCAAAATCCCCCATTTTGGGGATGTACACCAAGTGACGGTTATGCCCAAAAAGTACTTCATAACATGCCATAAAGGTGTGCCGAGTTTAGTTTTTCTAGTATGGGCCGTTAAAAAAATAACAGGGGGTCTCCACACTTTTTACTAACCCTGTATATAGATTTATAGAGTTTTAAAATGTAACAATAAATTAGAATCACCCTTAATTTAAATCTCACTTAAATAACATGGAACAAATTAAACAGAGAGAAACACATTTTTTATCCTTCCTTCGGCCAAACAGTTTTAAAAATGGTAAAGGTCCATATACCCACTACCCAGCACTCAGTTGGAACGTTTTTACTCGATGTGTTTTAAAATATTTGTCTATATCGTTTATAAATAAACATAGTTTTAAATTTTGGATAAACTCTCTTTTTAATTGTTATTGAGTAAATGATATCCAATTATTATTATTATCAATTATTGTGATGGAGACGCCACCTAGGAGTGTGTTTTAAATATATGGAATAGTGTAGTGTGGAAGGAATAGTGTAGAATGTATTGAGATAAGGATGAGGAGAGAGAAGCGAATGATGTCTCAGGATCGAACCAGTGGCCTTTTGATTGTTAGGTGAGCTACCCAGCCAGTTGATGATGAATAAACAATATTATGAATACAGTGTGTGTAAACAGATGTCCAATATTTACTGCAATGGGTCCAAATGATTCCATTAAATTAATTTACCTTGATAATTATTACTTGAACGGGTTATGTTACTTTAGTTAACAGGTGGGCAGCTAATCTAATGTGGGTAGAGAATATAAATTCTATGCTGAAGACAATGGGTATATTGCCACCAATCACGTTGCAAATGTCTAACTCCTCCATACAAGCATACAATAACTTTCAACGTTACTAAACTTGTTTTTTTTTACTCCTGTATAACAAGATAGGCTAAACTTACGAAACATCTTCTACTATTTTTCCAAAGTTAATAATTATCAGCATTTGTAGATAATTAAAAGCCAGGACAGATTATTGTTATTGTACCTTGTTTCCATAGCACAACACCTACACATTGTTTATGATAGACCCCGACGCCCCCGACCGTCCCCCAGGCATCTACTACTTGCACTACATTGTGGCTAACATACCGGTGAGTTTTACATGATATTTTATTATACTTTATGTGATATTATTAATTACTGTACTGTATATTTATAATAGAAAAACTAAGCTAATTACTCTTGATTTTGTAATGTTAAAAATTAGGTTTATAAAGACAATACAATAATAGGGTTTAGGCCTACAACTCCATCAATTAGCCCAACGATTAAGATTACTCAGTAGCTTACATGTTCGTTGCAAATACAACATTCTCAAAGCTTGCAACACATCAAAAACACAATTAAAACAAGAAAGAAACGAACATAAAAATACCCCCAAACATGACATTATTTGTTAACATTGTCTCACTCTAATTACTTTGTCTCACTCCATATTTGCAACGTGAAGGCACGAAATAGTGAGCGCGTAACATGCAGACAAGGTCGTATGCGCGCGAAATACGTTGGCAGCACTGGCTGTAAATCAGCTGGTCAGCTGTTGTACTGTTGTATCATTAATAATGTCATATTAAAAGTTCACTTCCGTGTAAAAAAATGTCACGTTTCTTTACCAATTTATTTGTTTTATGGTAACTGTAGGAAAAATATAATGCATGCACTCGAGAAACCATTCCTCGTGAGTAAGTATTTCTCTCGAGTGAGTCAATTGCTCCCTTTGCTCACTAGTTGCACAAATAACTTAAGTCAATAAAAGTAGACAAAGTAAATGAAGCTAACAAAATAATTAAATTATTGTGCTTTAGTATATATTCAATACTAGTACAAATAGTGTAACATGTAACAAAATTTACTTTTGGGATTGACAATAAAAATAAAGCTTAAATCAAATATGGTTGGGTCTAGTTTTCAACAGTGCCTAGTCCAGTTTAACTACAAATAGGGGTTTGCTAACAATTTTAGTAAAAGATTTTAATTGATTTGATTAATTGACTTTATATTGAGTGATGATTTTGAATCGCTATGAGCTTAGCAAGAATTTTTTGCTCCAGGCCATAACATTTATTTTATTTTTCAATGCTAAAAAACAGCACATACCAAAAATTACATTGTAGCATTAAGCATGCAAAAAGAATGTTTAAATAATATAAATATAAAAAGGGAAACATTTCCGTCTTCTAGAGTGGCAGTCTTCTAACAATTTCACTCAAAATATAAATATAAGAATAACAATAAATTAAATAAGTGAACAAGATAATTTATACTGACTAAAATAATACTGATGGTCATGAATCAAACTTAATAAAAATTCAAAAAATACAAATATAACAAAAATGTTGTTGAACAATTTTTCTATTAGTCCCTTATCCACCTTAACATTATTTAATGAAAGCAATTGTTTTAAATTTCTTTATAAACATACAGTACAGTCATTGAATTCTTTGTATCAAAGTGAACGCGCTTTGTTATTCATTCCGTACTATTAAATCCAATTCTTATTATATTGCTTATACTGGTTTATTTTTTTAGGGGAAGGATTTCCAGAGTGGAGACTTGAGCAGAGGAACAATACTTTGCAGTGAGTATTATATAGGCCTAGTATTTTTTAATTGTTTAAAAAGCTTTTATAAATGCCTTCTGTGATAATCTTTTGTCAAAACCATGGACCATTTCATGCTTATCTTACAGGTTAACAGTGTGGTAATATTATATTTCATAACAAGATAGTGAGTAGAATAATTATTACAGTAATTAAATATTTGAGACCATATTGTGCGAGATTTATTGAGCACCTGGTCGAGAATGTTTTCTTGGATGTTTTCCCCTACTTGATAAGATACCTGGACACCATATAATTAGACCTGTTCCTTCGGAATGGCAGACAGTCAAGACAACTGGTAACCGTAAGTTAAATACCAAAATGAAGGAAAAAACAGTGGAAAGAATTACAACTAAAAATTCCTTTGAAATTTTACAACATGAGCAAAGAGCAGACCAAGTTGGTGGAAATGAACTTACAATGTGCTCAAATGTTGAGCTAAAAGTAAATTCAAACAGTTTCTAAAGTAACAAATAATACAAATTCACATCATAGACAGTTTAAAGAATCTCAAGGGTGTCAAAATCGATCTATTGGCGCACTAAAACATAAGATGCTTATTTGTGCTGACAGCCATGGCCGAGACTTATCTTTTAATATTAATAAGCTTTCAACATCTCATGAGGCGGTCGGGTTTATAGAACAACCAGGGGGATTGGCTGAACAAATTCTAAATAAGAAAGCCTGATTCTGAAACAGCTTTTACATCTGGAAATAACTCTAATGATAGCACTATAATATCCCCCCTACAATCACCAGCAACAGAAGTCAATAACATTGAGACACAACAACAGATGATGCTAAATGACGCTGAGGTTGGAATATCTACTTCAATTTCACAGCTAGAAAGTGTTATGGAGAATAATGTAATGTCTTTGGAAAACCTCCCAGCAATACATCCAGCCCTACCACCATAAGTTTAACTGACGAAATCAACAGTCAACAAATAAAACTATTATTTTTTTAACATCCAGGGTCTCAAGGGAAAGGAAAACATGTAGGACATTAGGACATTTTTAATTCCGTTAAGAAGTATGACATTATTTGTCTAAATGAACATTGGCTGGTTGATGAAGAAGTTGAATTTTTACATGTTAAAAGTTTTAAAAATGCTTCTTTTTACTGTAGAAAGGATCATATTAGAGGTGGTGCTTTTATTTTGGTGTCAAACAAAATTAAGTATGATGTTTTGAAATTAGACTGGTTGTGTGTGGAATAGTATATTTCATTACTAGGACCGAAAGTGGCATTTTCCGTCGCGCGCCCAAGTTTTTGTGTGAGGCGAAGCCGAACACAGGGAACCCCAATTTCACGTGCGAGGTGAAGCCGAGTATGTGAGAGCTATTTTCACGTACGAGGCGAAGCCGAGGACGGAAATAATGGAGCAAGTGCCGGATAATAACTTTGGTACGAGTTATGAACGATACTTTTCATCACGACGCAAAAATACACAGACACAGAATAGCAGACCTCAGTATATTAAAACAATTTGATTTCTCAATTAATTTGATTGAACATCAAAATAAAATAAAATCTTCTAAAAAGAAACCTACGTATATTTCTCGATAAATTTTGTTTAAACATCAAAATAAAAGAATAACACAACTTTTAAAAATACATACAGCTGATTAAAATCATTAAATTAAACCGTAACAAAACACTGGCGCACGTAGTGAATAAATGGAGAATTAATTGAGAGCGAGGGAAAGTAAATTTAGAGCGAGGGAAAATCAGCTGATCGATTTTCCCTCGCCCTAAATTAGAGCTTGGGAAACAACTACTTTCATTGATATCAGCTGTTATCGAAAATAGTTACTTTCGTTAAGGAGTGATGAAAAAGAACTTTGAATGTTCTGGCGTATTTATCAAGGACCTTAATCTAATAGTTGTATCTGTTTATCACTCAACAGCTGGAGATAGTAAACCTCTTTCTGACTAACCTGGAGCTTCTGTTAATTTATTTAAAGAATTTTAAGAACAATATTGTTATTGGTGGGAATTTCAATGCTAAATTGAACGTAAACAGTAATCCTCCTAGTGTTAAACAGCTGATATATCTTCTTAAGCAGTTTAATTGTCACTATGTTAATAATAAGCCCACTCGAAACCTAGCCTGCTTGGATAATATTTTTACAAACATTCCAGCTAAACTATACTCAGCTTTCATATAGTTCAACTATACTGAACTATATTAAGCTCAGGGTATTACTTGACTTACCCTGATATGTCAGACAACGATGGACTTGATCTACAAGTTAATGTGTACAATACTCAAACTGAAGCGGCAAAAATTACTTTTATAAGTAGAGATCTTTCTATAAGGTGTCTTCATGAATTTAAATGGAAATTATCACAAATTGACTGGCTACAATTATTAAACTTAAGCAAATTACCTGCAGAAGATATGTTCGATCTATTTTTTTATAAAATGTTGAATACTTTTTATGAATGTTGCCCTGAGAAGAAACTTGTCAAGAAGGAAAACCACCATAATAACTCTGTAAATTCATGGTATACTCCTGAGTTGAGGGAGATGAAGAATAGAACAATGGCATACCGTACAATCTATCAAGCAACTTCAGGCGAAACGGCTCGTAATGCTTATGTTCATTGCAGAAAAGTGTACAAATTAGCTGTTAACCAAGCTAAATTAGCAGCTAATGCAAGAAGCATTGAATCTGCCCCCAATAAGCATAAGGCAGCCTGGAATCTGATCAAGAAAAATTATGCAGCTAAGACCCAGGATGATGAAGTGAAGATCACCCCTGAGCAATACAATACATACTTCATGAGCTCTGTGGAAGAAGCCAGAAGCACCATCGACCAGCTGGAAGTGTCTGCGGAAGAGCTGCTAAGAAGATCTGACAAATGCAAAACCCAATTTGAATGGAAGTATGTGTCTTGTGGTGAGGTGGAAAGTGAATGTTGGCTATGAAAGCTTCTAAAAGCAGAGATGTGTTTGGCCTGTCTAGTTACATAATCAAGTTTGTTATGAGTGAAATCTTGGCTCCCCTGGTTATGTGTATTAATGCTTGTTTAAAGGAAGGTGTTTTTCCTGAGTCTCAAAAGCTGTCTAGAGTCCTGCCAGTGCATAAAAAGGGGGAGAAAAATAATTTTAAAAAATATCACCCTGTATCTTTAGTACCTATTGTAGGCAAAGTGATTGAACGAATTGTAAAGCGCCAGGTATCCACATTTTTGGTAAATTTGAATATATTTTCTAATTGTCAATTTGGTTTCATTAATGGAAGATCAGCCACGAATGCCATTGATTGCATAATTTAAAAAATTTTGAAAGCGTTAGAAGACAGGAGTCTGGCTCAGATCACTGCATGTGATCTGAATACCCTAAGGCTTTTGATTGTATAGATCATAAAATTCTTTTGAATAAATTGGAGCACTATGGCATCCGTGGTTGTCCTCTTCAGTTTGTTTGCTCTTATTTGAGTGGTCGGTCACAATATGTAGATGTAAAAGGAAAGTATTCAAACTGTACTAACGTTTTGACAGGGGTGCCTCAGGGCTCTGTTCTTGGCCCTTTGCTTTTTTGGTGTCAGTTAATGACTTGCCACTTCATATTGAGGGATCCTCAACCACAATGTTTGCGGATGACACTACTTTTTTAACTGTACATTCAAATTACAATAGGCTTAAGATAGCTGTAGATAAAACAATGGAGCAAGCAGGTGTATGGTTTGGTGCTAATAAAAAACCTTGACACTTGTAGACTGGGACGGGTGGCGTCGTCCTGTAATCCAGCTACTAGGAGGTCACGAATTGTGGATATTTATAGGGATGCACTGTGGATACGATGCTCCCTGGTGTGGATTAACGTCCGCACTAGTGAGTACTACGACTATCCGCAGTACTATCCTGATAATTAGACCAATTCGTAAATTACAAGGAAAAAATGTGGTTCGGATTCCACTATAAACTGTAGGTCCCTTAGTTGCCATTAGCTGTATGGGCTATTAATTAACAGCTGTGTCTAAGGAACATGTCGACCTTAGTCACTAACAAGACTACAAGATCGCGCCACTCATCCTACACTCATCCTTCACTCATATTTGGGTTAAAATACGCACATAGTGGTGTCCCCATCTTAAATAATTGATTGATTGATTGATTGAATAACCTAGTTCTAAATGTAGACAAATCACAGAATCTTATTTGCCTAACAAAAAATAAAAATATAGGTTGTGAGGTAGTGGAAAACAAGGCTGTAAAGATTCTAGGTGTGCTTGCTTATTGATAGTGATCTGTCCTGGTCTTCCCATGTTGATTGTCTGTAAGAAGTTGTCTAGAGTTTTATACTTGTTAGATAATTTAAAAACTGTTGTACCTGATAAATATGTTAGAGTAGCCTATTTTGGTTTTTTTCAATCTGTTTTAAGTTATGGTTTGATTCACTGGGGAAACAGTAGTTGTATTGAAGATGTTTTGTTACTGCAGAAGAAAGCCTTGTGAATAATAACTAGATCTCAATTTAAAGCTCATTGTAGGCCTTTATTTACCAGCACTAAGATATTAACTGTAATTAATCTGTATATATGTGTATGTTTAGTTGATGTAAAAAGTAATTTAAGTAATTTAGTTGTTAGAAGGGATTGCCATGCGCATGACACAAGACATAACTCTTTGCTCCAAATTCCACAACATAGACTTAGTTTAAGTGCCAAGAAACATTCCATTTTGAGTTTAAATATGTTCAATATACTTCACCCTGAATCAAGACTTTTACCAGAATCTGTATTTAAAGTTTGACTTTACAACTGGTTAACTGTAAATCCTTTTTATCATGCTAAAGAGTATTTTGAAATTTGATTTAAAAAAAATACAACTGTAATCTTTTAGTTATAATTTATTTTTGTAAAAAAATACAACCGACTTCAAACGCTCTAAAAAGAATGACATAATTTCAATAAAGTAAACTTTTGTATTAGGCAAGCTCACGTATTTTAAGTCGGCGCGACTCTATA